GAGACGATCAGCTTCAACAAACTTTGGACGATCGCGAGAAGCTGTTGAAGCACGTACAAAAGGAGTTTGAGCTCTCTCAAGACAACCGCATCGCTGGAGCCGAGAAATGCAAGATGCTGGAACAGCAGATCAAGGAGCTGCAGGCGACGAACGAAGTGTTGCATGTCAATTTTGCAGCTCTCGACGACAGGCCAGCCTCGCGACTTTCTGGAACAAGCGGCGGAGACATCGCTGATAGCCCGACATTCCGGAAGGGGTCGAGAAAACTAAAAAAGGTCATATACGTGGGCGGCAAAGCCCAAGTAATCACAGTCCCTGCTAAGGGAGAAGAGGACGACCCTGAGAACGAGCCAGGAAGGGGAGAGAATGAAACGGACGACAAGATTATTGAGGATCTGAAGAAGCAAAACGAGCATTTGAAGGAGGCAAACGAGAAGTTGAGGGACGATGCTGGGACGATGCTTGAGGTTTTGGAAGGTTCTGAGTCAAAATTGTCGCAGGATGTCAAGAAGTGGAAGGAGAAAGGGTCGGACAAGAAGAAGAAGAAGAAGAAGAAGGGGAAAGAGAAAGCCAAGCCAAGGCTCAAGACTGCTTCGAAAGACGAAGATCCGGAGGCATCTTCGAGTTCAAGCTCCAGCGACTCGGACTCTTCTCCGAAGGACGACAACAACGGCGGCGGAGGACCCTCTCAGTCACCAGAGGACAAGATCAAGCAGCTCCAGGAACAAAACAGACGCCTGAAGAAGAGTTACTTCGAAGCCAAGCAGAAGGCTGAAGATATGGAGAAGGACATGGATGCTATGAAGGCCGAGACGCCTCAGCGGGCTGCCGGAGGTTCGAACGATAAGTCGAACAAGCCAGGCCAAAAGCCACAAGACAAGCCAGCACGAATGAACCCGAGGAACAAAGCGAATCGAAACAACAGCAAGCCCAAAGCTGAGGGTACAGCAGGGACAGGCCCTCCACCTAAATCTGACCCGGAGTTCGTGTTCCGGTATTCTGAAGACATGATGTACCCCTTGGATACGCCGTCCATTCAAGAGGAGGACGGGAAAGCTCCAGGCGACGGCGACCAAGACAACGAACCATCCGGCGATGGCGACGGCCAAAAAGGAGCAACAGAAGACGTGAAGGACCCCTGGGTTTTCCGGGTCATCATGTCAATCTTCAAGTGGTACTGGCTTCAAGTCTACAACATGTGCGAAATCATTGTGTTCGCATTCCAGTTTAAAGCGATACACCACAGGAACTTCGCCTTTCTTATTGTAAGCTTCGTGTGGCATTTCACCTTTTACTTCTGCCTTTGCAACTGGTTCGCGCTTCATGTGTCTCGAGAGCTTTGGGCGAGGGGCAACGACCTCACGCGGGCCTACTACATCGAGACGACGGTGCGGCCCAAGGTACACAACATGCTGGGCCTGGGAGGCGCAGACAGTCGTTTCTGGCCGTCCGTCAACTTTTTTGCTGGTCTTTTTTACGATGGCCTTCTGGGCAGGAGCAGCAGGAACATTAGCGGCTTGCCGTGGGAAGCGCGGATGGCGGGGGAGGAGGGGGTTTTCCCCGTATTTCTGGAGGATTGATTTTGACAGGTTCTTGACTCGATATGATGTTGGGTGGACGATATGACACCTGACGATCTGGTGAGTGAAGTGTGCTGTTGTGTTTTGGTTTGTAATGACGGAGATTGGGCGCAACGGCGTCTGGACAATTAGACTTGTTTCTTCATCTGATTGCACATACACAATCGAATCATCTCAAATTGTATATCCGTTGGCGTACGTGGTCAAACGGCTTCCCGTCGTCGTCGTCGTCGTCGTCGTCCGGCAGATGATTTGGAATTTGAAGCACTGTCGACCCAGGGCCCCGGTAAGGGCAGCCAGAAAAATGTCCGAAAAACGCTTAGCGCGCATGGACACTTGCACCCAGCAGATTGCCAGTTGTGGCATAGTCCGGCCACCTCGGCGGTGGAGGTGGAACCTCGCGGAACAGGACGCAGGTTTACAGTGTTGTCGGCATCTGCACGGGACGACTCGAAGCCCCGGTCGGAGGGACTCGTTCTCGCAAAAGACGTTTCGTTCCGCGGTGGATTATTAAGAGACAACACGGCACTGCAGATTTGCAGATTGGGGGCCCGGTGTTTGGTTCGTTTTGGGGAGGTCGAACGGTGGTGGACGGAGTGTGCGATCGGCCGACCCCGACTCTGTGCCTCGGCCGTCGTCAAATTATTCAGCCAGCTCAGCCCAGCCAGCCATGCAGTCAGCCCAGCACTGATTTCAGTCCCTCTGCCCTAGGAGACCTGAAGGACCCCGGGGCGGCATGGAAGATGTCACTCTGATGCAGTTTCCACACCACCTCGTCAGTGATGTCATGACACCGGCCCTGTCCCTTTCTTTCCCTTTACTATGCAGTAGAGGTTTCCACACATCATCCCTACCTTACAGCGCGCGACTAACGTTCTGACAAGCTGCGTCTGCATTGCATCCGCAGCGGCCGATCGGTATTACACCAGGGCAGCTACTAACATCAAGGACCCGATTTCAAATTGCAGCCCTGTGCAGAGACCTCGGGCGAGACAAACGCACGATAGCCACGCGCAGCACAGCAACGAAAGTCACAAAGACGGCCGACTCAGACGCATTCAGCAAAGAAGCAGCAACAAGCTCGGCCGAACCGAACAAGGGTTCTGGGCACATTTTCCATCTTCTGCAGCTCCCGCATCCACATCCATCCACTTCCCACGCGGTCACCCCATCGGATTGATGAAACTTTTCAGAGTGCCGCGGTAGTGTGGTGTGCAGTGCAGCAAGTGTCCCCCGACTCAGTACCACCCGTTCCCCGACGTCAACGACGACATACCCGGGCCGCAGATCTCGCCCTTTCGTCCCGTCCGTCGTCGTCTCTTCCCGTCCGCTTCTCAGCTTCTGCCCTCCCAATTGCAATTTGTTGCGAGGCATAGCTGGACCCTGCGCCTTGTCGAAACAACCAGACAGAAAGAAAAACGGACTCCCGGCTGAGGGAAGCTTGACTTGACTGACGTGCGAGTCGAATTTCCCCCACACCATCTCTTACACACCCTCCCTCCGCTTCCGCAGTCCGCGTTTCTAGAACGAACCCGTCGGAACGCCTCCGCTTGATTTGACAATGGTACGTGTGCTCGCCGCGCCCACACCACGCACGCCGCCGTAGCTTAAATCGGTTCCTGTTCCCGCCCCCGTTCCCGTTGCAGCTCGTGAAAGCTGCTCCATCCCAGCAGACAGTCTCAGGTCCCTCATTACCTCATATATAACCCAAATACTCCCTCCCCCCTCTGCCTCCTGTCACCCACGTTTTCTAAAACTATCTTTCCGTTTAGAGATTCCTTAGATACCCAGCTACATCAGCCCGCAAAATCCGCACCTCGACAATCCATCGTAGAGCATTCTCGGCAACACACAACCCATCGCAGGCTCACTCGCAAGCTCAACCCGAAGGCTCATCTCACAACACCAGTAACACCACCAACACCCAAGCACCCCTCCAAGGCCAACACACCCTCGACTCTCCAGACCAGGAGCCCTCATCCTCCCATACCAACCCTCTCAAATCGGCCAAAGACCACATCAAAAAGCCCATCATGTCACAAAAACTCATCCCCGCGAACCCCGCGGACGTTATGGTCATCCGCGACCTCACCCCCAACGTGACTACCTTCTCCGTCCCCTTCGCCCGCTTCGGCGTCCTCAAGATCGGCGGCCGCGCCACCCTCGTCCGCCTCTCCTCCGGCGCCCTCGCCGTCTTCAGCCCCGTCGCCCTCACCGACGCCGTCAAGGCCAAGATCGCCGAGAAGGGCGGCAACCTCGCCTACATCATCGCCCCCGACATGGAGCACCACATCTTCCTGTCCGAGTACAAGGCCGCCTTCCCGGCCGCCAAGATCATCGGCCCCGACGGCCTGCCCCGGAAGCGCGCCAAGCAGACCGGCGACCCCAAGATCAACCCGGCCGACGAGTTCTTCGTCACCTTCAAGGACGGCCCCGGCAAGCGCGAGACGGCCATCACGCCCGAGTTCGACGCCGACTTCGCGTACGAGTACGTCGACGCCCACGCCAACAAGGAGCTCGTCTTCTTCTTCAGGCCCGAGCGCATTTTGATCCAGGCCGATCTCATGTTCAACCTGCCCCCGCGCGAGCAGTACTCCAAGGCGCCCGAGGGCGAGCGCGACACGTCCGCGGGCGTGCCGAACAAGCTGTTTGGCGGGCTGCAGACGACCGAGGGCGACGTGAAGTGGGTGAAGCGGTTCCAGTGGTACGTCATGAGCGGGCGCGACAGGCCGAGCTTCAACGAGAGCATCCAGACCATCGACAAGTGGGACTTTGACACGATTATCCCCTGCCACGGCGATACCATCCAGGGCGATGGCAAGGAGAGGTTTAGGAAGGTGTTTGAGTGGCATTTGGCTGGGCAGAAGCAGTGAGGGTGGTGTTAATGTAATGGGTTGCATGATGGCGTTTTTGATTTGGAGCTGCGATACCAGACTAGAATTTGAACATTTCATTCTCATGTTGCAACTGTTCTTGGCCGCTCGTGTCCATATTCGTGAGGTTATCTCTGGAGACAAGCGCATGCCACTTTCATTAATACGGGGATCCTTCAAATACTTTGTAAAGAGACTTGAGCCAATCTTGAACTTCATATGTGAATACGCTTGCGTGAAAGCAGTTCCACCTCATCCTGCCAATGATAACATAGTAGCCCTGTGGCTTACAGAAAACAGTGTTGATCCTCAACACGTCTGATATTCCTTGCCAAAATCTCGGAGCTTGTCCTTTACCGCCGATCCAACGTCTGCGGTCCTCGTTCCAAACATAGCCAATCTGCGACTAGCTCCATTTCAAAGGTCCATCGTCGACAAATCGCGGCTCCTCATAGCAAGTATTCCATCCTAGTCGTTACTAGGAGCGAGTCCTTATTCGTGTCATTGATAATGAAAGTTACCATATGCCGGCTGTATTGGTTCTTAGTTAGAGGTGTGAATCAAAGGCAGGAGAAGGAAAATAATCACCGCTCAACTGTGACAGGAAAGGCGAGTCCGAACCAGCGATCCCAAGACGGCTCAAGATCATGTGTCTGCGAAGCGGCTGGCAGTACTTGATGGCCTCGTCGGGCCACGTCTCGCTCTTGGCGATGATGGAATAGGTCGAGCCAGAGTGGTAGTATCTGAGGTAGAGTTCCGACCAGAAATCCATGTGCCGTCTCAAGACAGGGAACTCGTCGCGCGCACGATCCAGCGATCGCAGATGATCAGCCTTGCCGGTGGTGGACCACACGGCCAGAGCTGCCTCGGCGAAGATGAAGCCCATAGTCGAGTTGCCGCACTTTGGGTCGGAGAACACCCGGGTCAGCATATCGGGCTTGGCAGCGCGATACTTCTGCTTCATGCTGCCGATCCTTGTGGTGAGGTTCAGCTCGATGATGTGCATGACACTCTCGACCTCGAGAAAGTTTGCAAGTTTCCACAGCTCAATATTCTGCTGAATGTCGTCACGAGAGAATATCCAGCCATAGTTTCCTTCGTGGAAATAATCGATCAGATTGGATAGCAAGTCGAAGTCGATCTCGTCAGGTACTTGCCACTTTCCGAGGACAACATCCTGTTCCTAACATTAGCTGCAAAAGTACTTGGCTCTTCAAGCAAGGTGAGAGTACCTCGGTCAGATGAACACCATACTTGAACATTTTCGCGAAGTAACCCGAGTGGCGCATCAGGCGGTGAGGGCAAATCGGCAACCATCGGTTGCGTCGATCATTCACGAGCTCAATATAGCGACAATCTCCAGTATGGAAGCCGCAGAAAATATGGCCCAAGTCTAAATCCGTCATTGTGAGTCCGTATGGTAGAAATTTCACGACTTCCTATGAGCTGCTGGTGAGGTTACAGACAGCCGATCGGTGGTGAGGTCGACTTTGTGGAAGACGTTGGGTTGTTGTGGAGTTCGTCGCCTGAATCAAAAGGCGAGAGAAGATAATAACAAAAGCAAAAGGCTAGCAGCAGATTGGAAAGGAAGGCGCAGCTTCGTCAAATGCATGGCACTCCGAGAGCAAGCCCGCGTCTTCCAGATCAGTAGCAATAAGGCATAGAATTCGTTCCCTGTCGTAATAGGAAATCACGTCTACTCATTGAGGTCTACTAAGAATGATTTCATTTCTACGCCAAATCACTGAAATTCAATTTTCAAGGGCATAGAGCCCCCCTCGTCTTCGTATTTCACACTTGAATCGACTTTACTTCGCGATAGCCTCGACGTGCCATACGTCCACACAATTTCCCGTCCATTCTTCAGCAAATAAGCGGCAAAACAATCCAGTACCTTCACGATTCCTCGGGTTTCTTCTCGTCTTCAGTCGCCCCCTTTCCACTACAAGGGGTCAGATCAATTCAAATCCCTTCATATGAAAGTTTCATACCTCGTCATGATGTCGGAGGGCTTCGTCATCTTCTCAGACATGAGGTTGTCTCTGACGCCTTGTCCCTTGGCGTTGCGCCAAACATTTCCGGTGTACTGCTCGCAGGACCTCATGTAGTGAGAAGACCAGAACAACATCATGTTGGCCAGGTTGTTGTGTTCCTGAGACAGCTTTTTTACTAGCTCCGTGTCCTTGGGGATCTTTGGGTTCGCGAGAACAGTCCAGGCGGCTTCACCGACGACGTAACCCATGCCGGACTCAGCGCAAGCCTTGTGAGAGAACACTAGGTTAAGCATGTCCTCATCCGCGATGAGCCACTTTTTGTCAAACTGCTCAAGCTTGCTCTTCACGTGCTCTTCAATGTCGATCTTGGCGTTGGTAACCTTGAGCTTGTCCGCGAGAATCCACAGGCGAGCCAGGGAGAACATGTCGTCAGGACGCTTCCACGGGGTGGTTCCTCGGTAGAAGAAATCGAGTAGAATATTCATGTCGCGGGCTTCGACGTCCAAGCTTATAATGCAGGCATTGGATCCCTGTGATCATTCATGGTAAGCACTCTGGCGCATGAGAATTCGACGAGAAAGGCCCAACCTTCACGGACTCGTCCTGGAATCTCTGGGCGAAGTAGTCAGAGTGGAGGCTCAGGATGAGTTTGTGGACATTGAGATCCACGAAATCCTCGCAGCAGATGAGGAAGTCGCTGAAACGGCCCGTGGTAAGGAGCCAGCGATGGTCGTCCTGGACCATTTTGGCAGTGATGGTGGGGTACTTTGGCGTAAGATTGGAGTTTTGAAACGTGAGAGGTGAGTAACAAGATTTTGAGTTGAAAAGGAAGGACACGGTGGGTGGAAACAAGAAGGAGTGTAGACGGGAAGGGGACGCGTCTTCCTTCCCAAGGAAAGAAAGACCTTAAGCTGGGCGTCATGACCAGGAAGGAAGGACCGCCCTAGACCAAGCTACCGCTTAACCCAGAGCCCGGTGGAAGGAGCGTTTGAGAAAACCTGCGGGAAGTGACTACCGAGCTAATAAATGATCTCTAAGTGTTCAACCGAACCCATCCCCTTGGTTGCTTCTGGAAGTGATGAGAGCAATGTATACGATTCGCGGCCGCCCAACTTCTGGTTCAACGGCGATATTCATTATTGCCCAGGTCCTTCGTTCTATGGCGTGACTTGATATCTTCTACCTACAAAGGCATCTCAACATCGATTTGACGTCTAAACCGTCCCAATAGCCATTTTAGAAACCCCCTTTTCCATATGTGATCGAGCAGTTGAGGCTTCGCATTTCACACATCACCTCTGCTTTCCCTTTGAAAATGGCAGTGAGAGATTCTCCCTGCTTCCAGGAATTTTATGATGGTGCTGGAAAATTTAACCTCGCCGCCGAAGTCCCTTTGTCAGGTATGTATCTACGTTGAACCCCTAGATGCAGCCGTAACGTGTCCCACAAACTACAACCACTCTCCTGCGGATCGCCTTCCTTCTCGGCCTGCCATTTTGCAGAATATCTATAAAGGTGACACTGGCAGCAACAGTTGAAACATGGCCACAAATGAAATCGCTACCCAAGATCTCCAGATTGGACTTGGTCAACGCACAATGATGCTCCCTTGGCACATCACAAGAGTCTGCCCCAACGGTTCTCTGTTCTAGTTATGGCAGATCTCTGCCTCCTTTCCAGAGTATTAGCCGTCTAATACACCACCAAAGATACAAGACGACGCGAGTCCCTCGATCTCCGGGACAAAATCCTCCTGAGTCTACTATCAGAGAACAAAGTCACGATGCTCACCCGCACGAAGTCAGAGAATACTTCGTCGAGAAAACCTACCCACACTCTATGCAGTAATCGCTCGAGGAAAACTGGTCAAAATCATGACCGATCATTATATAGACATTTGCTCCCCAACAGTTTTTCCTCTTCAACAGCCAGCTCCCACAGTCACAACGGGCGCCCCAGCTTGGGCATCGCCGACAATTAAGGAAACGTTCATCTCAGTCTTGACACGCTCATGCAATTAATAGAGTTGAACTAAACCAACCACCCACGCACCAGGATGCAACTTCCAAGGCTCTCACAAGGACGATGAATGCTGAGGAAATCCGTCACGCCAGGCTCATTTCACTTCACATACGACCAGTCATATGCTCGCAGGAACAACTTACTTTAAATTGTCCTCGAGTATCTCTCAACCTTCTCTTTCTCCCCGTCCCTTCACCCACAACCAACTGCAGAGAATAACGCTTGACCCCCTCTACTAACCGAGTAAGAACCCCCATCCAAGTGGAAACAACACAAAATGGAACCATGTATCGATGACAAAAATAGGTTGCCGTCGTCCATTCTAAAAGAAGCTTTCCCTCCCACGCCATCGTCGTCCTCCGCTTTTGACGCAAGCGCCCGGCCAAAACATTGCCCTGTCCAGAGACAAGAAGCCGCCGTCGATAAAAGGGCTGCAAAAGAATTTGAGTCAAGTCACTCTGGTATCGATCTTTAATCAAACATGCTCTCCCTCGAGGAGTGACCGAGATGGGATGGCGTCGCGTTGTCGAATCATGGAATTTCGGATCTCCTGTTGCTCTTCCAAAAGTCAATGGCTTCAACAACGTCCTCTCCCTTCTCGTCTTCATACGCAAAAATGATCTGTATAGCTGTGTCAGCAACTTTATCTTCAGGGTAAACAATAGCCAGACTTACCTCGTGGGTACTGCTATGCAGCATCCTGATGTTTCTATGCGGCACAATGTGCACAGCGCCGGTCTCAATGTTTCTGAGCTCAATGAAGTTTTGCTCAAATGCCAAAATCCATGGATAACTGAGGGCAAAGCTCTGCGGCGTACCCTCCCAGTCGATACGCCACTCCGGTCTCGCACGCCAACCATTACGGTTGACGAAGAAGGAAAACTCAGAGTAGTTGAGCAAGAACTCGCCATTGAGACGCTCAATGTGAATCGGCTTGACGTTCTCCTTGCGGGCGACAAAGTCGAGACTGGTGTCGGCCTGGTCGAGGAGTGACTGCGTCTCAAGGGTCTCGAGGGACACAACCTCGAATCCACGGGCGCATGCCACGCACAATTTGGACTTGAGGAAGTGCACAGATGACGATTCCGTAGGGATGTAGAACTCCTTAAATGGCTTAAGCTCATCCTGGCCGGCGAACATCTTTCCGAAACCCTTTTGCTTCTTGCCCTTGGACATTGCGTCATTGGGCTCGTAGACTTTGATGGTGGTTGATAGGGCTGACGACTTGACGCAGCACACAAGATGCCTGCCAAGGCAAATGCCTGTCTTGAAGAAGTTGCAGTGACTTTGAATCTTCTTTGGCCTCTTCGAGAGGGCAGGCTCGTCGGGATTGAGCGCACCGAGAGGGTACGAGTAGAGGGCCTTGTTCGAAAGAACCAACAGAAGACCGTACTCTTCCAGGACGTCCAGTTGGGTAACGCTTGTCGTCTCGATGACTCGCTTCGGAATGGCCTCCTTGCTTTTACGATCTGACAAGTAAATACCGTTGTCCGTGCCGTACAACAACTTTCGACCACCATCGTAGGGAGTAACACAGTTGACCTGGTTAGTGCCAACGAAGAATCCTGCAGAGATGACGGTTGTGTTAAAGAAGTCGGCGCGGGCTCTCAGCTTCTGTTGAGCGGTGTCGATGAACTCCAGCCACTTCTTACGTGCCGCTTGGTTTGAAGCATACAACGTCAGCTCATAGCCGGCCTTACCCAAATGCCTAAACGTGATGGGCCAGCCTTCTCCCTTCTTGCTGTCATTCGTGTTGGCCCGAAGCGCTGGTAGCAAGCTAGACGACGAACGCTTCATGCCACCGGAACCGGGAATGACTTCCTCCATTTCTCGAATGGCAAGAAGTTCCAAGGGGATGGGCTGTTCCAGGTTAGCTTAATCTCCAATCCGGTATGTATAATGCTCACCCTTCTGTACGCCTTAATTTCCTCACCCTTGCCCGCTTGTTTGATTCTCACCAACAACACCGCGTGGTCGAACAAGAAAGCCGTGATCTCAGACGCGTCTTGCGGTGTCTTCTTCAGCTGACTCTTGAACACCAACTCGCGGCCTTCCTCCGTCAGTCTCAGATCTACCCTCTCGTTCGGTCTGAAACGCAATTGCTCATGCAACCTTCTCAGGTTGAATCTGTTCTCTGCCTTTCCTGATTCGGCATTGACTCTGCTCAAGAGGTCGCGGATCAATTTGAGCACCTTTGGAATGTCTTCCTTGTCCGAGTTACCGTCCTCGGTGTACTTGAGCACGTTCTCCAGCAACAAAGGGTAACGAGCCAAACGCGTCGTCGGCTTGGTGAGATAACCGTTGAGTTCCAGCTTTCGCGACTCTTTCCTTCGCTCGATCTCGTCCACAAATTTGGCAAAGTAAGGGTTCGATGAACGCTCATTCTCAAACTCAAACTTGGCCTCCAGCTGCTTGGAACCATACCAAATAAAAGGCTCAAACTGAGGGACCCATTCGAGGAAGATGTCGCCGACGTTACCAACGACAGGGTGCTTGTTTTGTCTCTCCGTCAACGACTTGGCGAATCGTGAGCTCACTTGGTGAAGACTGGGATGGTCGACAATGTTGCTGAAAATAGCCTTGACAACCTTTTCTCTCTTGGCGGCAGGAATAGGAGAGGCCTTGGAACGCAGAGGGAGAATCCAGAAGTCGCGAAGATACTCCAAATCCTTGACAAAGTCTCTTTCGGTGTAGCAAATTTCCGAAATAACCTCCTGCCTCTTCTTTTCCCTGTCGCCAACGCTCTCGGCGATCTCCTTCGGCACGGAATTGATCCACAGCTTCTGCTCGTCTGTCTGATCGATGTCATCTTCGTTCGTGGCGGCCTCTGCTTCCTTCTTCAGGCCGGGCTGAATCTTCAGGTTCAGTCGGGACACTTGCTCCAGTCTGCGGGGGCAGGCTATGGAGTAGCAAAGCTGGTCTCTCGTGCAGGTGGGAGAGTAACATTCGGAGAGGAGGACGAAGACACCGTTGACAGGGACCTTTTCTTCAGGCTCTTCCATCATGGTTTCTCGGAACTGGTACATTTCTGACGTCGAGTCGCGCAAGCGGTGTTCGTAAGTGACGTCGTGGAAGAACTTCTGGGCATCGAGCGCTCGTCCCAGTAGCAAGGCCAGGTTTCTGTCGGTCGTCCTGATAATATATGACAAAACGTCTACCGCCTCGGCACCGCTGAAGGCGTTCTTATACGTGAGCTCGTTCTTCGTTCTGTCACCTGTGATGATCTTCTGTCGGAAACAGTCTGCTACTCTCGACAGCAGCGCAGGGTATACCAGAGGAGGTCGGATCTTGGCCGTCGGTGGCCGTTCACTGCCGTCGATAGACTTGCTCATGGAGGGCCTATGTGCCAGCGTTGCGGCATCGGAATCCGAGGGAGTTATCGTAGGCGCGATTGTGGACGCCATTGACATGGTCCTTTGTGAATCTCCATTGGAGGAGGCCATGCTCACCGTCCTCGTCTGAGACCCTGGCGCCGGTGTGTAGCCTCCTCCAAAGCTGCCATTGGTCGCCGGTAGCTCCACCGGTGCTCTTCTGTTCGGAATGACTCGGCCGCTCATCGTCTGGTGCGAGTTTTGGTGTTGATGCAAGTCGCGATCTTGCGGAGGGTATCCAGTCATTGACATGGCTCGATCATCGTGGCGTTCGGGAACGACCCGTCCTTGCGCCGTAGTTCGGGCCGAACTCGGGTTGTACGGAGCATGGCGAAAGGCATTGGCCGGAGC